TGATGTCTATAACCATCCTGGAGCCTTCATCCAGTGACTGATGGAAGCAGAGGCAAACACCCACAGTTAAATACTGAACAGAACCCAAGGAACCCAGCGACAGAGAGAGAGGAACGAAGAGCAAATTGGCAAAGAATGGGCTGGCAAAACCAGCAGAGACAGCTGATCTGAACAGGGCAGAGCTCTTGGACCCCAGACCGACAGCTGGGAGGCCAGCATGGGACCAATCCAGACCCCCTGAATGTGAGAGTCAATGAGGAGGCCTGGGCTACTATGGGGTCCTGAGCAGTGGATCAGTGTTTATCCCTGGAATACTAACAGACATCGTGTGTCCATAACACAAAGTGGGTTGCTCTCTCTGCCTGGACTCTTAGGGAAGTGCCTGGACTCTACCCTGAGTGAAATGACAGACTCTAGATATCCCCTATGTGGAAGGAATTGGCAATAGGGTGGGAGGATGTGGGGGGATGTGGGGGGTGCAGGAGGAGGGGAGGGAGAGGGAACTGGGATTGACATGTAAAGCAAGCTATTTAAAATTAAAAATAAATAAATAAAAAGAAAATTGGGAATAGTCTTTGCAAGTCCTACTAAATTGATATAACACAAATTATTTGTCATTTCAACAACAATCACAGTATATTCACAAGGAGATTCTATCTCAAAAAACAACATTCATTGCCTATTTGTAAGTAGCTACTCAATATCTGTTAAAGTTCCATCACAGAATTGTAGCAACTTGGCCAAAACTTCAGACCCACTTATATTTTTTAATATTTCTGTCACATCTGCAATTAATTCTTCCACTTCAGTCTTGAATCTCTCTCTCATTCATAAAGACTAGTACCAAATTCTTCCAAATGCCATTTCGTGTTTCTATTTCGACCTCTTCTCATCAATCATAAGCAGTCTAATGGAATCTGGAGTGGTGAATCTTTCTAAATGAGTATCACTAGGGCGAATTCTTGTTTGTGTATGTGCATGTGTTTCTGTGTGCTTTGTTTCGTGTGTGTGCACATATGAGGGGGGAGAGGGGGGGGAGGGAGAGAGAGAGAGAGGTTGATGTCAGTTTCAGCTTCTTTTCCTCTTTCGTTGAATCTGGATGACATCAGTTTGGCAAGACAAGTTGGCCAGTAAGTCCAGGAATCCTATTGCTGCAACACCCCTAGCACTGACATTACAAGTGTAAATTTCACGTGTGATCTAAGGGCCTAAATTCAGGTCCTTGTATTTGTAAGGCAAGCACTTTTAGCTAAGCTATCATCTTAATCCCTCAAGCTGTAGTTTAAAATTTTTTTTTTGTGGAGGTTGGAGGTACATGGCAGAAATTCCTGTAGTTAGGAGGTAGAGACAGAAATATTCTTTTGAGTTCCAGGTCAGCCTGGGCTAAAGTGGGACTTTGTCCAAGGGGATAAAGAAACAGGAAGAAGGAAGGGAGAAAAAAATATAAGTAAAATTCAAAGTGACCCCTTTACTTGTAGGTTTGTTGGATGAAGATTAGATGTTTCATTAGCAGAAATGAAGCAAAACTAATCCTGTTTTATATCTCCTTCAGAGCTTTTGGATGACCAAAGCCTAAAGTCACTGAATAATAATACTTGGAAAGAGATCTTTTTTTTTTCTTAGCAGTAGGTTTCAACAGTGGACTATAGTATTTAGAAAACCATATTGTAAGCAGATGTGTTGTCATCAGGCTTTGTTGTTCCATTTATAGAACATAGACAGAGTAGACAGTATACTTTTTAAAGACTGGAGCCCTCTCACGATGCTGACTATCGGCTTCGTTTGAAGTCAACAGTTGCATTAGCCCAGGCCAGCACTCATTTGTGCTGGAAGCTATGAAAGCAGACACTGACTTCTCCTTAGGAGGTGAACATAGTCTCTGCTAACACCTGCCTCTATGTGGGAGCTTTGTTTACGCTCAACTCTGTCAGTTGTACATGGCCACCTTCCATCAGCCTGACTAGATTAAAAAACCTCCTACAGCTTCTGTCTCAGCATTTGCATACCTTATGTTAAGGAAGAGTCCTCTTCCCTTACAATTTAAGAACCCTACCCCTTCTAGCTTCAGAGTTTTCTTTTGTGCCTACTTTAACTCTCTACCTTCATAAAGTCGAACAGTTTTGGTCAGGACTTCTCTGATTTGGCCTTGGTCTAAGGTAATTCTGTAGCTGGCTGATCTCTTCAGACAACTAAAAGTTTCTTCACATCTGCAATTGCAGTTACATTGTTTTACGTATCAACTATGTGTGCTTTCTGAAGTAGAATATTTAATTTCTTCCAAGAACATTCCGTTTGCAGTCACAGCTTGACAAATGCTTTGGTGCCAGGTGACTACTCTTGGATTTTGACATATTATTCTTGGATTCCTAATATTATTAATCTTTTTGCTGTGTGTGTGTGTGTGTGTGTGTGTGTGTGTGTGTGTGTGTGTACGGGGTTTGAACCTAGAACCTCACATATTCTAGGCAAGCCTTGCAACCACTGAGCTATACACCCTTCCTTAATTCTCATTTTGTACTTTTGATTAAAAATTAGAAGCACATGATTCTTCGTTTCACTTGAGCACACAGAGCTATTAATTGTCCAAATTGTTCTATCTCAGAAAATAGAGTCAAGGAGATGTAGAGATGTAAAAATGACTAGTTGATGGAACAGTCAGTCAGGGCACACATAGCTGTTACCAAGTCCATCATTCCAATGCAGGTCCCATTTGTGGTGTCCTCAAGATATTGTGTCAGATATTATAATAATAATGAAAACATTTAAAAAGTTCCAATGATTACCAAAGTGTGACAAAATCATACATCAACATCTGCTGTCCTGTTGGGGAAGTGTATATGTCAATAAAGCACTGTTGGCCAATAGGAAAGCAAAGATAGGTGGGACTAGGAGTCCAGGAGGACTCTGGGTAGGAGAAACACAGGAAGTCAAGACGTAACACCATGGGGTATGAAGCTAACAATTAAAAGGTGTGTACATACATCTGGAAGTGGCAGTGACCACAACTCCAAGCCAGCAGCTTTTGCTGGATCTCAACATAGCCTGAGACTGAGCTGGAATCACGCTTACGCCCGCCATCTTAGAAAAACTGCAGTTTAAACTGCCGTGGTTTTAACAGATAAGACACATGGCCAGAAAAACAAAGATTTACAGTAAAGTCAGACTTGGATGAAGAAAACCCTCTAAAAGTTTACAGTGTGTTTAAAAATATACCTAAGATAGAGAGAGAGAAAAAGAAACGACATAGTGGTAAATAAGTAGAGAAGTCGGCTGTGGTGGCGCACACCGGTAGGAATTTTGCTCCAGAGGCAGAGGCAGGCAGGTTTCCAAAGAGAAACCCTATCTCAGCAAAAAATAAATAAAAGTAAAATAAATAAAGTAATAATAGATAAATAAATAAGGCACGTAAAGATGGAAAATACACAGAGAGTCTGGATACTGTACGCTATTGTGTTTTTCAGTTTTTTCATTGCTCAGGAAGGAACAACTGCCTAAGTACACTTGATTATAAATGCTGCTGAATTAATTCACCTTATATCTTTTGAAAATGCCTTGACTTCAATTTTGAGTATAAGGATATGTTACTTTGGAAAAGAGTTTTAGTTTATGTTTCCACAGAGGATGAAAACCTGAGGATTCCTTCCAGGATTCTGTGGTTTGATGAACCAAGACCCCCGGAAGCAGTGGGCCATGTGTTCCAACAATTGAGACAGCTAAGATGTCTGCAGCCTTACAGACCCCGAAAATAAGGACTTATACAGGTTTCTGAGTTTTGTCATGATCCCCATGGTATGAACAGCGCCCCCTTCCAGCACGAAGCAGTTTGGAATGAGCGACATCCTAATTCCCATCTTGTTTATAAATCTTTGTTTTCATTTAAATGGGATTATTTATAATTAGTTAGTGATCACAGCCAATCTCTTTTTAATGGTAAAAATGGGAATTATAGTATGGGTATGGTTTTTCATTTATTGATACAAATTCAAGGTCAATTTTGTGATATGTATATTTTCCTCTTGATTAAGTATTGTGCTTGTACTGATCTTTTAAAACATAATGCATAATTAAATAAAGGTTATAGATAGTTACTTATAATAGTCAGAACTTATAGTTATGTAAGTTAGGTTTTCTAGATATACAGAAATATATTTGAGATAGATAGGCAGTCTTCAAACCCTTCAAAGACCTTCATAAAATGGCATTTAAAATAGTTTAGGGCTTTTCTTGACAATGAGAAATGTCTGCTCCTGGCAGCACCAATTCCGTCTGAGATGGGCATCGAAGGAACTCATTATGGAGTTTGCTTTCGACATGGCAAGATTAGCCATTTGGGCAAGAAACTGCTCTTGTCTGGACTGCTTGACTGTTGCTGTATAAACTGGATATGCAGGACCCACAGGAAAGTGACTGCTGAACCCAAACAATCCTTCAGGGTTCCTGCTTCATGGAAGAGTCTACGAGACTTTCTGAGGACACAGAAAAATGACTGACAGACTGCCAATGCAGATGGACAGTTTGAAATTTCCTGCTTTCCTGAGAATCTTCGGGACACACTGTGGCCTATGGGCTGAAGATGGATGCCCCAACATTACAGAGAAACTTCAGGTGACTGTCCAGGTAGCAAGAAGTCTCTGTCAATTCTAGTGTTTATATATTATCCTTCTGTAGTCTTTGATGGAGTTGGAAACAGATAGTTATAGTTTTCCTTAGTTATGATAAAAGATAAGCTACATATATAACTTTGGATTCACAAAGATAGGATGGATGATATTTTCTTTAAATCTTGCTAAAATATTGTAACTATGTTCTTACTTGATAACTGTTCTGTTATATATAATTTGACTGTCTTAAAGTTAAGACCTTTCTTTTTGTTTAGACAGAAAAGAGGAGATGTTGGGGAAGTGTATATGCCAATAAAGCACTGTTGGCCAATAGGAAAGCAAGATAGGTGGGACTAGGATTCCAGGAGGATGCTGCGTAGGAGAAACACAGGAAGTCAAGATGTAACACCATGGGGTAGGAAGCCCAGAAACTTCTCCGGTAAGAGGAATACTTAGATTAACAATTATGGGGTAATTACTTAAGTCAGAGCTAGCTAGAAACAAGCAAGGCCAACAGCTTCATAGTTAATATAGCCTTCTGTGTTTATTTGGAACTGATGCGGCTCTGGAACCAGGCTGGCAGGAAGGCTTCCCTTTACACTGTCCAAACTATGGCATTATCAGACTTATTTGAGGCAGGGCTATCACAAACTTCAATTTTTGTGTGTGTGTGTTGTTTGATTTTTTTAAAATCAGTATTTGCAAAGTGCACAAAGTAAAGGAAAATGTTATAAAAGCCTATAATAGACTTAGATTGAATCTCTAATTGTCCTATTTTATATCCTCAATGGAAATTAGCTTGCCTACTGCCATGGACATACTGACTAAAATAATTTTAGAAATTTTAAACTTTAAAAGCTGAATTTTTATTTGGAATATGAAAGAATTATCTAATATTTTCCAATGGGAAGTAAAACTTGGGATTTGTAACAATATTACTATGCAAAAGAAAAGGTTTTTCTGGAAATGAAAAATGAAAGAAAAAAAGCATGGTATAGGAGAGACTGGTTGAACAAGAAAGATTTTCCCAATCCTTTCTTGTCATGTAAGACTTAGTTTAGTTTTCAAATAACATAAATGCCCTGACGCCTGAGACATGAAATTAAACAAATAGAAAAAGGCTCATGGCTGGTTTCTGGGATTAAGGGGAACACTAAGTTCAGTTTTTAATTAGAAAAAAAATATTAACAAGTAGTTTGTAGTTTGGTCTTGCAAATATTTCTAAAACATGTTATGTGATTGCTTTTCTAGGCTCTTTACTAAGTAATTTTTAAGTTAAAGTTGATTCTTAAATGTTGTAAAAGTTTGAGATTCAAGGCTCTTCCAGGAAAAGATCAAAGTTATGAAATATAATTTAAGAATATTGGCAAATAAAATACTTCTAAGGTACCTTGCCTTTGATATATCTTTTCTATTAAAGATTAATAGTTGAAAATGTCAAAACAGCACAAAAGGGAAAAATTTAAACCTTGCAGAGTTATTCTGTATGTTTATATATAATGAGCTGCTAGTGTGTTGTCAAGAAGTGGGTGGGGCTAAAGTCTAGTAAATAATGCCCCTCTCCTCCTTCAGTTCTGAGAGTTAGTATGGCTGATGGGTAGGGATCTATACAGCTAATAGTATAATCACTCAGTATTTTCTATGTCACCCTCATTTCTCACTATAATGCTGTATAATTTGATTGCTGAATATTTTTTAAACACCTCCAGGTATGATTTTTATTTCTACAAAGAACTGAGGGGTATAAAATTTTTCCAACACACATTTGTTTCTGTGAATACATAGCTGTTGCTTGAGGAAGTTACTAGCTGATTTGTATCTGGAAGTAAATCAAATGCAGAAGGAAATAACAGATAACCTGTTCTTCTCATTTTTAGTCTTATAAGACATCTTAGAGGACTTCTCACAAATGAAAGAAAAATTCAGCTGTCACTTTTTTATATAATAGATAGCAAATACATTTTGGTATAATTAAAAAATTGAGTTTAGAAAGCACATTGGGATTGCTGTCAGTCCAATTTATTATGTTGTTTCTGAGGATCTCAATGTGTTGGAAGGCTGAGTTAACTCCTTGGGGAGCATACATAATATTCCTGGCCTTAACAAAGGCAAAGAACTGATAATCTTACCAAATAAAAACACATACCAGCTATGTAACACAAAACACAAGTAAGCTTGTAATAACGGTTATTTTAGGAAGGTATTTCCATTTACAGTTAAATGAACTCACTGTTAGTTTTCATTTGAACTCGAACAGTGAAAAAGATAAAATCTCATGGAATTATGGAATAAATCTCTTATGCTATGCTATGATAGCTTGTTCTGGATTCAAGGAGGCTAGAAGAACACAGTACCAGGGTTCTATTATTAATGTGATGTGAGTCTATTTTTAACTCTGTCTTTTGAGTATCTCTTGTAGTTCATATTTCCAAGAGAAACTCTGTTTAATTTAGTTAATTATTCAAACCTCATTTAGGCTGAGCTTCTCTTCTCCTAGGCCTGGACCAATGGATAGGAGTATTTGTTAGAGATGGGAGAAGTAAGGCATAATCTGTGATAGATTATAATCAACATGGAAGCTAATCTCTGAGCAATATCCATGAGAGAGTTCCTATATTCAGTTAATTGAGGAGGGAAGGCTCCCCCTAAATGGAACCAACACCATTCTGTAGGTGTGGTTTGGGCAGTGGATAAAAATGAGAAAGAGATACCATGTCTCCAAGAGCTCCTTATCTTAAAAGACTATACCCTCAGACTGTGAACCAAATTAGACCCTTCTGTCCTATTTTACCTTCTGTTGTTGTGATAAGAAACACTGATCAGAAGCAACACTGATCAGAAGCAACTTGAAGGAGGAAAAGGTTTCACTAAAGAAAACTAGAGTAGAAATTCACACAGTGAGTGACAGGAAGCATGGAAAGAAGCTGTTCAATAGCTTGCTCCCTGTGGCTTCCTCAGCTACCTTCTTTATAAACCCAGGCCCACCTGCCCAGGGATGGAACTGACCACAATGGCCAGGGCCCAACTATATCAATCAGCAACCAAGAAAATACCTCACAGACATGAATATAGGCCAAATCTACTGAGGCAACTCCAGTTGGAATTCCTTCTTCCCAGGTGCCTCTAGATTTGTGTCAAGTTGACTGCTGAAGCTATGACACCTTTGTTCTGCCTTTGAGTTGCTTTTGCCAGGTATTTTGTCACATCAGCAAGAAAAGTAACTAAGCTGGAGAGACTAACTCAATTGTTAAGAACACATATTGCTCTTGTAGAGGTTTGGAGTTCAACTTCAGCATCTACATTCAGAGGGTTCAACTGCCTGAAACTCTTGCCCTGGGGGATCCAATGCCCACTTTTGGCACACACACATACATATACACACTCATACTCTTACACACATACATATCAATAATAAAATTACTTTGAAAAGGAAAATTCACTAGTATACCAAGTGAGACCTCATGGCTGGGAGGGATCTGGACTGCGAGATGAGGGATGAGCAATACAGTTCTAAGGAACACATAGGGTGAATTCTAACATAAGAACATTGGCCTGAATAATAGCTACAAAATGCTCTTTATCGTTCCTCATTGTAACTGAGACAAATTTTTAATATAACTTTTAAAAAACTTGACTATAAGCCCAGAACTGTGTGTAAGTATTTAATTATACTAATTAAAGGCTAATTTTCTGGTTGTGGAGATAAAGCTAGCAATAGGTTTTCTTTTCTTCCTCACCACTAAGTGGGTCTCTATACAAATATATGGTCTCAGAGTGGAGATCAGCATAAGCTGATTATAGTGCCACTTCCCATTCTAATACAAATGGGAGAAGGATCTGGAAGATCCCTTATGAAGAGGAAGACGAAGATTGGCCAAGTAGGACCAGAATTTCACATCAGAAGCAAATCAACTGTGTCCAGAAGATGGGTCATATTTTAAAACGAGACTTCTCTCCCTGAAAACTACTGGCTGGCTGGAGCAGGAAGAGTAATACTTGTAAAAGGTGTATTGTGAAAACAGAAAGTAAAAGGGTATTAGTGATGCATTTTATGCTAATGAATTATGCAGTTTTTCTCCTATTGGGGGTTTTGTTTTGACTCTGCATTATTTAAAATGTAAGTCTAACTGTGACTAACCCAAAGTTTTTGAGACTTGACACTTAAGACAGTTGGTGAAGAAACCTACATTATTATTTTTGGTGGTTCTGTGGAGGACCAAAACTGTAGAATTGCCATCTCTGGTGCCTTTTTTTAAAAACTAGCACATACTTGCTGGGCAAGATTCTAATCCATCCCAACTTCTTTAAAAGAGACATGACTTCAGCTCGTGTTGCCTGTATAAATTCCAAGTTTTGTCTTTGGCTTTTATTGGTTGCCACTGAAAACCATCATGTCTGACCACTTAAAGAGGAAAATCACTAAAACAAAACAGTAAAGTCCTTTGGGAAGTTTTTGTCCTTCACTTGAGAGTCAGACCTGGTGTAGAAACTAGTAAAAACACTCAACACTCAACTGAATGTTTACTATGTGACAGGCATGTTCCAAACCATAGGTCAACATTGGATCAGATGTAGCTTGTTACCTGGCTTGGTTGTTTCTATATTGAGTATGAATGCTTTTGTACTGTAACAATAGAACTGAGAAGTGACAGAGAGTTCATGACCCACAAATATTAAAATATTTACTATCCTGGTCGTTGAAGAAAAAATTTCTGACACCTGTTAAGTTCAGTGTGTGTGTGTGTGTGTGTGTGTGTGTGTGTGTGTGTGTGTGTGTGTGTGGTGTGTGCGCACGTACAAGACAGAGAGAGACAGAGAGAGAGCATGTTCATGTGAGTGTGCATGTATGTGTGTGTCTGTGTGTGTACACACTTGCATGTAATAATTATCACAACAATTTTGTGGAATAGGTAACATTTTTCCATTGTTATTTTATTGCAATATTTGAGCAAACAGAATTGAAAATGTCCTTAAAGCAATACAACTAGTGATCATCCCTCTCAAAATTTTCAACATTAGTCAGAAATAATATAATAAAGATCCTAATAATGATAGTCATCATTAATAAAGAATATATATGAATGCTGAAATTAGTGTTTGACATTTTTAATCTGGAAAGTCCCATAAAAGTCCATGTGGTAAAGGCTTAAATTCCCAGTAGGTGCTATGAACTATTAACAATAGGACTATGTGGGAGGTCTTCCTGCCTCTGTGGGTCGGCTATTAAAGGAGATAGTAGAATTTTGACCCCTTCTTCATCCTTGATTTTATTTACTTCTTGGTCCCAAAATGATTGGCTTTGCTCTGCTACATAATCCCTGTCTTAACAAGCTGCTTTCCCACATGCACAAAAGCAATGGGACTGTTAATTGCAAGACTGTACTCTGAAACTGTAAGCCCAAATAACTCTCTTTTCTATAAGTTAATTATCTTGGCTTT